GTGTGGATTAAATACGCAGTGTGCGCATTCACCTCACGCTTGCTTCTTCAGTTTGTAGGAATCCGGAGACAATTTTTTTAAATTTGAATCAGGGTTGGCTTGATTTTTTTCAAGTGATTTCAATCATGGTTTAAATCACATGACTTTTTTGAAAAAAAATCACGATTTAAATCAAAGTTTATTTTTTCAAGAAACTTTATATTTCCACTCAAAAAATATAAAACAGAACAAACAATTAATTTTAAGAAATGAAAATCAAAATAGAAAATGTTACATGTGAACTTTGAGTCTCCAAAGCCAGATTCTTTTCTTCAGGAGTTAAAGCGTAGTTTTGTTTCTCCGGGCTTAACATGTAAGCAATAAAGTGATAAGGTGTAAGAGCTTGCTTATAGCGATGTTGAAACTTCTGTAGTTTCTCTAAAGATAAATTTTGAGATTCTTCGAACTTATCTTGCAAAGTGTCCACTGCTCTACGGCATCAGATATTGTGGCAATTTTCTTCTGGAGTATATCTAGAGCAACAGCAATAGGCTTCAGAAGGCTCAGGCACTGCATGCTTCAGTCCTATGTTTGAGTGTTTTTTGAAGATAGCAGAATCGATATCTTTTCAGTTATCCTCGCAAATCTTGAGAATTATGTTCCCATTGTGTGACATACGCTTCCAAACAGTCGACCACGCTGTTCCAGCGAACATCGCTAGGTAGTACTAGTGCCTTGCCTCCAGCTGCACTGAATTTGGCTTTGGCCATGTGAATGTTGCAGAAATATTTGACAATTTCGACTATGTGTTCTTTGACATCTTGCACCTGTAAGTCCTTACAAAGCAGATTTAGTAAATGCGAAGAGCATCCATCAGTTATAATTTCAGAGTTTGTCCGTTCTTCTAACGTTTTCCTCATTGCGGTCATAATAGCGGCATTGTCCGTTACAAAAGATCGCACTTGACACTGAAATTTTGTTTGACACGAGGAAATTAAATATCGCACACCAAATCAGTAAGGTATGTCAAAGTATGAGGCTTTCCAGAAGAATCAATGGTTTCATAGAGAAGC